CGATTTCTTAAATTATTGAAAATATTTTCACTTATATGACCTGATTGAGATTGATCCAAAGCTTCATAAGATAATTTTTTTATCCCCAAGTTTACGCTATATTGTGTATCTTTTCAAGACGTTACATATCAGTTTAAAAATTCCCGATTGAGTTGAAATGAATCAGTGAGTTCAGTTTAGAAAGTCTTGGAATTTCCTTTTTGTTTTGCGAGCTCAAACCATTTTTCTCAGCCTTGGGCTAATTTACGACTTCTGTTTATATAGATTTCCTCTGATAACTTGTAAATTAACTCAATTGTGAGGCAATTCGATTTTTCGTTCACACAAAATCGGCTACTTTTCGAAGAGAGGCTAGAACGAGGTTTATCTACCATTCTTATTAATTAAGAAAAATGTAGAGCCTCCTCCCACAAGTAATGGAGATGAGGTACAATTTTCATTCTCTCCTCCTGTCGGGCAACTGTCGCCGCTACGATGTGATTATTATATAATAACAAGTACTAAATCTTCACATTTGATGAAAAATAGAATCAATTTGAATTATTTTTCAAGAAATTATAACGTACAAATTGTTCGGTACAATCTCAAGGCAAAAATGACTCTTCAGAAAATGGGTAAATAGAATAATACAATCGAAAGAAGTAAAAATGGAAACAATTTAGTCTGTAAAGCTGCAATTTGTAGAGGAAAAATTCTATCACTCTGAGGATTATATCTAGTAGATGCTGGGAAAATTACCCAATTAAACCAATGTTAGATAATTCTTGCTGATTCACACGTAAATTCGTTTTCATTCTAGCTAATTCACTCGTGATCCGCAAAAAACTTTATTATTCATAGCAAACTCAAATTTCTCGTGAAAATTTGTCGGAACCAATGAATTTTAGATATTTCAATCATAAGATGTTGTTTTCCCGACTTAGATTTGTTCGATTTATAAAATTTTTATCCTTTCTTCAAAAATTTATTTGAATACAAATTTTAAATAAGTGAATCATGAAAATCGACGCGCCATCAATTTCGTCAATCGATATCCAGACAACGAAATAAATTGTATCAGTCAATTGTCCATTTATCGGTAGGTTGGATACGGCTTCATTTATAGCCGTTGTGTTGCAGGGACACTTCCATTAAGTCCAACTGAATTATTATGGGCTAGACCGGCGCTTGTGTTTCAGGGAGCGTTGGCAACAAAACTGAACAATTTAGATTTGCAAATAATTGCAATTTAGAAAGGTGGAAAAGATTGAAAAAAGTAGAAAAAGGTTTAAAAAGTAGAGGTGGACCAAGTAGAGGTGGACAAAGTAGAGGTGGACAAAGTAGAGGTGGACAAAGTAGAGGTGGATATTGAGGACAAAGACCTCGACGTATTTCCGAAAACCCGATGCCAAGTAGGCGCAAAATTCTGTCCCGAAAAATCTTTCAGTGTCAGTCGTCTGCTAGCCATGTGGCTTATTTGCATTTCGAATATAAAAAATTCAACATTAAAGACCAATATGTGCATAGTTTAATATCTATTCATTCGATTTGGATGGCTATTGAACAGGTATGGCGCACCTTTTCACAACAATTTTTCCCGGACCATTTGACTATGAAAATAAAATTGATAAAGATTAGTGACAATTCTTCTTTGGCAATGTTGTATAAAACCGTATTTTATCTGCATTTCGATAACAATTAAATTTTTACTTGTATTAAATTGCGTGGAATAAAAAGTTTTCTGACAGTTCATTCTATCGGCATTATACATTCGGCGAATATTCTATTTGCTGGAGATTGGAATACAGATCACTGCTCATTCCCTACACGAGAGAGGCTCTTGCTGAACGAGATAAATGAATATGAGAGCCTAGCTCCAGCCGACTCTCATTTTACTCCAGCCGACTCTCATTTTACTCCAGCCGACTCTCANACATTATATGAATATATTATATTCATGACGGTAAGACGCGTTCAGCGCCGGATTAAGATAAGATTTTATGCTATATATGTATATTTCGAGAGTTATATATTCGATAAATAAATATAACGTTATACTAATATATTATATATTCATCTCAAATTTACCAAGTTTTCTGGCACATGAAAATGATATAAATTCACATGCCTTCAGTTAATGTATGTCTGTCACAGTTGGAGTTTTTGAAAAATTCAGACGACTTGATATCTTTGCAAACCATGCAATCTAGCGTGAATCTTCATGCTGCATACACATATCTTTTTTCCATATCCTTTTACGCAACTATCTCTAGACGTAAACCACGCAAAAGGATTCGCAATCAATGTGTAAATATATGTAGGTGCATCACCGCACCTTTGAAAAAATTGCTCGTTGGCTCTCCATTATAATTTCAATACAAATTATTATTAGTATTATTGGTAGAAGTTTTCGTCAAATTCTTCATCTAGATTGAATATTAGTGCAGATTAATATGGCTTACTATTTATTTTTAAGAAGTATTGCAACATTCCACAGAGCCTGATTAATTTTAGCCATAGAAGTTTAATCCCTTATCAGTATAATATTTCTACTATTTTATGTTTTCCTAACAGTGTCTTCATCGAATGTTTAGGACATGAAAAATGATGAGAGAAGGCTGCGTTTTCTCACTGGTACAAAGCAAGCATTAATAAGATGGACGAAATTGTCGCCAGAATTTCATCATTAACCTACAGATCTTGCTAATTTGGAGACGCCCATTAAATAAAAAATTAGAAACGCTGAATAGAGGTGTGATAGTAGATATATTCACTGTTGTTGGAATAAAGTATGCAATTTGATTAATAGATTATGCGCTTCTTATGCAAACGAGATGTTTGCATAATGTTTAGAATGTAATTAATGAAATTGAATGTAAAAAAAATTTACATTCAAAACAAAACAGTGACGTAAGGCAGAGTTAAAAAAGACAATTAAAAATTTTACTTCGTCATTGCCGTTTCTTGTAGCAATTCAAACTTTAGTTCCGAAGAAATCATTTAGGTTTGAACGTTTTTAGACCCACGACTAAACTTCTAACACGCAGCGAAACTTTTCCCAATAATTTTTCTGTGACTCAACATCAAGTCTTCTCTCCCGGTTGCCGTGGAGTTACTTCAAGGTCCTAACTTTGCAATGCCCATCAAGCGTTATTCCCGGACACCTTTGGGGTTACTTTAAAACTCTTATTAAGTCACGCCCATCAAGCCTTATCTCCCGGACGTAATAGGGTTACTTCAAGGCTTTAACTATGTCATGCTCATCAAGCCTCTCTCTCCCGGATCCATGCATGAGGTAATATCATGAAACATTGAAATTTAACCTCCACCTTCTTGATTATTTCTCCTATTAGCTAACCAATATATAAATTGAGAAGTGCGAGAAAGCGTCTGCTAATAGTGTGAAGTCTAGAAGTGTGTACTCATAAATTTAGAAGCTACGTTCTCGTATTTTCTCTTTCGCATTGTGAGCCCAATACTGTAATTTGACTTGTTCATTTCCAAGTTTTAACCCAAGCGTCCCGTTTAGGGAAATAAAACATTGCAATAACATCTCCACGTTTACACTGATTTGCATCCTTAAACGTTGATCATAACGACAAACTTCATATAGCAAATTATCCATAATTGTTCATAAGACTACGAAGGACGAAGCTAGGAAGCCACTTAGAGCGAACTGCGATATGTACACGATCACTGCAGACATAATGACATAGCATGGCTTGATATTATTTTCAGATATATTGAAAATATTCATTCATTAAAATGGCAAAACCTTAATATCACTGGTATATAGGAATTAAATTCCTACGTTGAATTGTAATAATTCAGTTGTGCATTTAAACTTTCTGGGCAATAATCATGGATAACTGAGGGCAATATGTTTCATACTTCAATATTTGTTAACATGAACTCCATCAATGTAAAAGATTTGGCAATTTAATTCTTGACTTTTATAACTTTTCAAACGACTAACAGTTTAATGGGATGATTAAGTCATATGAAACCATTAAAGAACAGATATATCAAGTTAACGGTTGGCCTTTAAATGTAAATGGTTCAAACGCTGCATGAAACTCCATCGAAACGACTACGATTTTATTGCTAGGTTTGCTGCCAACATTAAGCGTTATCTGATTTCTTTTAATTCACTGGAATATTAAAAGCATGTAACAAACTGCATATTGTTATATTATTAATGATTTAGTATATTTATATTTAGTAATTATTATATACTAATATATTTAGTAAATATATTAGTATATATTTCAATGTCATCTTGATATACAACTACCACACACGTAGCAATTTTATCAAACGATTTCATAGCTCTCATCCAGCAATTCTTTTCAATTGAATGAAAAGTTTATCCGCACATAAAATATATTTTATATTCAAATCGCAACAATATCATAAAGATAATTAAAAATTAGTAAACAATTCATCAATGCAATAATCCCCATTAACTATTTCGATTTACTCGTTTCGAAATTTTTTTTTGTAATAAAAAATACTTCGAGCAACCATTGTCTCTATGCACATTTGCATAAAAAACGAGAAAAATTTAAACATAATTTCGTGTTATCAGCACATTAGAATAGAATTTAAATTTTTCGTCTAACGATTCTCAGTTATCACCACTATCCTGATTTATTAGTCATCAAAATTACCAGTTAGCGGGTATGGAAGCTTCAAACACTTACCACAGAAATTAAACATCTTTTCATAAAGCACACTCCGTGTACAAGTGCACGCGAGAGGAGAAAATCTAGCGAAGCAACTCCGAAACATGTACGAGCTCATTTTTTCATCATTTTGTCCATTTAGTTAATAAAATTTTGCAAACATTCTGCATGTCTTTCGACTCAGGTGGATGTCGTATTTAATTTTATAATTCAATTATTTTTAGCGCATTTTCTCATTTATGGAAAAAATGCACTATTGTGCTCGCCATGTCCGTCCGTCCGTCTGTCCGTCCGTGACTTCACGTTTACGTCGACGAGAAAATGCGCTCTCTGTCACTCACTGCAGTGAGTACTGAGTTATATTTTTTTCTAATAAATTCATCCCATTTTTAACATAATGAGCTCATACGTTGAATCAGAACGCGGAACGGGCAGAAGCCTATAGTAACATGCGTCTAGTTGAAGGCTCATAAGCTCAGCAGAGTTTGGTTCAGAATACGATGTATATATACCGTATAAGCTTAATATATATGCGATAAAATTCAAAACTTTGTTCGCTCTACTGCAACCTCAACAACAATATGTCTCATTCTAACACGTCTTAATTAGAAGGAAGCACTCTATGGAGGAAAATTTCACTCTCTCACTGTCTCGTACGTAAAATTCAAGGTTTAATAACGAAACCCTCTTGGATTTCTGAATTTCGTAAATAATTTCAAACTTAGCGAGGAAAGCGCAACCAATAAAGAATAGATTCCAATAATTAAATTATTATGAATCAGGAATAAGTATAAGTTTCTGGAACCAAGAAAATGTAAATCCAACCTAAATATATCATGTCATCGAAAATAGGCCAGTTTTTAAATTAAATTAAAGTTAAAGAATATACAATGATGTTTTTATTTACTGATATTGTGTCAAAATAATCCGCATAAATGGGCCTTATAAATTTGAAAAATACCCTTGCTAACATTTCTGTGATCACGATGAACATACAGTAGTGCATGAGTCACTTGGGTTAACTATTAACCTGCAATAAGAAAATCATTTAAATGGAGTAATAAATTAACAGTCAAACTTTAATTTAACCAAAGCCTTATTTTTGGTAAAGTAAACACAGGTTTTCTTCTTATTCCATAATATCCCCCTGTTTCATCCTGATGTGGACTGGGTTCCTGGAAGGATTGGCATGGTGTCTACAGGAGCGTCCTCGCCTGACGCGTCCTGCTGTTGTTCTTGGACTCCTTGCAGGAGTTTGGCCATCCCTCCTCTGAAGATGCCTCGGCGGGCTCCCAATATTCCTTTCTGGGGAATATCTCTGGCGACGTGACCAGTTTCAGATTGTACTAAATGATATTCATCTTCTCTCCCCAAACGTGAGCCTGGACTCGAGTGCAGAGTCCTCTCAACTTTCGAGTCCCAGCTCGGCCGGATTTTTCTATTAGGTATCGGGAGTTCTACGGTGCACCCATCTTGGTCAGCGGTGCTTGAGTCTCTCACATCATCCAAAACGTGGGTATCTTGCAGTACTTGATAGCAGTCCTCGTCTAGATCAGGGTTTCGAGAGTAGGTTTCGTCATTCCCATGAACGATGCCATGGTTTTTATTACCATGGTGATTTTGAAGGTCTTCATCTACTCCTGGAACTTGGTTGTGTGGCTCAACCGCACCTCCCGCTGCTGCCCTGTAACCCATAAAAGTTCGTTAGTTGTGAAAAGGTACAACCTGCGCAAATACATCTGTTTTAATTTTGCATCACTGTAGGAAGTTAGATAATTTACTGACCTATTGGGTGCCCCAAATATTTTTGCCAGTCAAGCACACCGTCACAACAAAATGTAGCAAAAAGGTATAGGATTGATCCAAAAATTTCTGCACGTACTGAATTCGTAAAATGAGATCACCGAGCGTTAAAATAATTGACAAGCGGTTCCTAGCGACAATTATTCCTGTATTTACAAATTCCGTCTCTCTAGTTTCAATTTCAGTAAACATGAATTTTTTGAAAAAGTCATACAACGAAACACCCGCAATTAGAACGCTATTTTCTAAAAAAAAATTATTCGACGGCATGAATGGTACGTGAAGGAACCACCCAAAATGTTCGCATGTCCTGCGCACAACGTTCACATGTTCTTTATTTGTTCCTGTAAGTTCCTATGCCAGGATTCACGCTCTCGTTAAATTTTGCCGCGATTCCTACGGAATTAGTGCCAATTAAGGCAGACAATTAATTTAGCCTCGTTCAGTAGGATATTAGGCTTATACAAGTGCTCGGTATAGCTTTTAATGAAGCTGCAGTGTATTGGATCTGATCCAATAGCCTTGATTTCCATCAAATGGAGAGTGCACACTGTTGGAAAAATTACCGTTAACGGTATTACCGGCTTCTCAGTGGCCGGTCGGCACGTGAAAAGAAACACCGTGTCGCCGTTTTTATTCGAATTTAACGCTAGAAATCCGTAAAACATCTGATAAAAACGGCGAAACAGTTTATTTTCACGAGGCGACCGGCCACTAGAACGCCAGTGGGACCGTTTTTTCACCGTTTTTTCTAAAAGTGCATGGATTTCTAGTTATGTAAATAATAGTTGATTAAATTAAAGTGCTTGTGATTGCATGATTTGAACGCAGTGACTTCCAATTACCGGGGACGACACGGTCACAACTTGTTTGCTCGCACAAGAAAATCGTTCAGTGGCGTATTTGATGCCAGTGAAAAGCAACTGATAATATTTTAGTGTGAAAATTATCTATCACCGAACGTCTGTGTTGTCATGAAGAGAAAATATTCTGCAGCGGCTGCGAAACTTTCATTCTTATACAGCAAATTTCATTCTCCTGCGTCCCTTTCCGTCATTTTCTTTATTTATACTCTTACCGAATTTCAAGGTGACGTGACATTATTATTTCGCATCGAAATTAGCACGCTAACATTTTTCACTAGATTTTGTCAAATTATTTATTGATCGAATGCAAATGATTTCAAATCAAACCTATTTCAAATGAAATATGAATGTGTAAGATTAAATAGGAGATTATTAACGCTTCAATGTCCAAAATCAAAATCGATGAGGCGTCCAAACCCGTTCTGTGTATGTTCTCAGTACATAGACTGATAATATGACCGTGATTACATCAATGGAACCAATATTTGCATTATATTAAGCGCATTATTATTAAGTTTATTAGCTCCTACTTTTGCGTAAACTTTCTTCAGTTACCTAGAGAAGTACATTATTGGTTTCTGCCTATAGCTGATGCTGGGCCAATTTCGATAGAAATTAAGTAAAGTATCTTCGGCATTGAAGAATATAGGCCTGGATAGGCCTGTCGCCGCAACCGTTTATAAGCATTATGCAAGTCATAAATAGGTGTTCGTTAATTGATATCAACGACCTAGACTTTACATTTTATAAAATCTTCATATTCCAACAAGTGAAAGCAGAAATTCATCGCAACAAGAATTCCATTAAGTGAATATAAAATTATAAATGCTTTTTAACGGGCATTTAACGTCTTTCATTTAGAGCGCCGGGTCACAATTGAAGCGATATCCAAGCGATTCATCCCTTCGCTTTACTATCCAGCTGTAAAATATTCACTCCCATTTTGTACAGCTTCCTCGGGATATAATTTCACTTTGATCCTTTGCAGGGAAAAATGAATGGGATGGGATCTTTACATTGAGAAACGAGAGGGATGGGATCCTTTCATTGAGAAACGAAAGGGATGGGATCTTTACATTGAGAAACGAATGGGATGGGATCTTTACATTGAGAAACGAAAGGGATGGGATCCTTTAGAGAAAAAGAAAGGGATGTTTACCCACTTCCAATCTCTTCAAAGAGCGCTTGCGATGTGAAGGATTAAAGCGACTCGAGGAGAATAATTAGTTATTAGAATATATTGGCACGTAGATAAGCGCAAGTGAATAAATAAAGTTGAACGCAATTTTGATTGAAAAACAATTCCAAAACTAAATAAAAAAAATTTATTAATTAAATGAGAAATGAAAATATAAACTGTGAGTCGTTGGAACTATCGATCAATAGGAATGCGGGCAAATTGAATGTTTGCGTAATTATAAGCTAATTTTCTTTGTTTATATATTGCGGAGATTTATGAAAGGGCCTGTAAATTGAAACTTTCGCTTTCATAAGTTTTTCATCAAAATATTGAGCTGCAAATGCCATGGCTTCTAAAGAAAATTTATATTTTCTGTAAAATACTAATGTAAGTTATATCCTTATATTTAAGGTACCTTAAATACTTACAGTATATCCTAATAGATATAAAGTTATGCAAAGTTTCCTAACAATTGATCTGGTACTGAAGAATATTACTTTTCTCAAATACAGATGATTTGCGACAAAGTATTTCAGTATTTCCTTTGTTTCATATTTCGAGTTAATGAATAGACAGTTAATCCGATTAAATGAAAATATTCCAGTAAGTTATTTTCGCGAGTTTTTATAGCAGCATGAGTGTGCATACATATACCAGGGCCTATACTTTCAAAAAAAAGTTACGAAATCGTAAGTTCATCAGCCAATCACTGATGGGCTTTCAAGCAAAATCCACCAATCATAGACAAGAAAATAGAGCGTAAGTACTTACGTTCACTTAGCGAATTTTGAAAGTATGGCCCCTGATCGTTATGTTTAGAATTCACAATTTTTAAACCAAATAATGATATGCAAATGACCAGATTAGAATATGCGTTCTTTTCTATCACCAACAATATATCAAATTTATCAGGCCTAGTGTGTTTAAAACGAGTTACACGAGATAGCGGTGAATCATGAAACAATTTCCACAAATAATATTTTTTTAAAAGGATTTCTTAATTATGTTTAATGAAAGTTAAGAATTTTATCTGGATTAACTATAAAAATTAGTGTGGAAGCTATAATTATTTTTCATTTTCTAAATTTAGCGATATTATTCATTCAAGTTCATATCTAAAGTTGATGGTAATTTATTTTGTTCAATTTCCGTTGACTGGACATCTCGATTACAGGTTTATTTTGATTTTACAAATCGTGATTTCGCTGGTTTAAAAATGCTGTGATACCATCAGTACACAATATTGCATAAGAATTTCTGTTCAATAGAATGAACATTTTCTAAAATATATCTAAAATGTCATTATTTTCATTCTGAACATATATAATATGTTATGAACGAATTTGATGCTATTTACGTAATTATCCGAACAGTTTATTTGCTTAGATGTACACGTAGTCATACATTATTCTTCCCAATTATAGTTGTGCAAAAAGAAATGAATGAAAACACTTCCTAATTCCAACCAAACCAAATTATATCAAAGACTCCCGTCACAAAACATCAATAGATCTTTTTGAAGGGACAAATTCTGTACACATGCAAACCCTGCCAAAAATTGAAGCCCCTAATAGAACCTCAGGCCGGGAAGCGGAGTGGAGTCGTCGTAAAGTGTAGCATACAATCAGGAAAAAGAATGGGCCAGTGTTCAAATCGTGACACACTTTCGGCTCGTAGCACTGATACCTGATACGCCCTTATTCCGGGACACACTATAGCTGGGACCCACACTAAGGTAAAAAAAATATAACTCAGTACTCACTGCAGTGAGTGACAGAGAGCGCATTTCCTCGTCGACGAAAACGTGAAGTCACGGACGGACAGACAGACATGAAGAGCACAACAGGCCATTTTTTCCATAAATGAGAAAATGCGCTAAAAATTCATCGCTATTTGGACAACGAGTAACTCATTTTTTTGAGAGCTGAAGTCGGAATCTAAAACCCCCGCTGCTTACGAATGACACGCGGGGCATTCAGACAAAAAAAAAAGCATCGTCATTAGGACAACGAGTAACTCATTTGTCTGAGTGAGGCTGGAGCTGGAATCTAAAAGCCCTGCTGGGAATGAGTGGCACGCTAGGCGTTCAGACGACGTTCAAGGAGGTGATATTCGTAGCAGATGGCGGCCATTGACTCTAATGCCGTTTTATATGGAACTGATTCCTAACAAAATTTAGAGTCGCCCCAGCTTCTGATTTGGGGTACCAGAAGCTGGGGCGACTCTAAATTTTGATAGGGATTCAATTTAAAAGACGTAACAGAAAGAGGTCGTGTCTCCGAGTGTAATGGCGCAGCGTCGTAAAACTCGGGAAATAAACCTACTCGAAATTATCCGATCACGGGCAATAAAAGGCGGAAAATGCATTATTTTAGGACGTTTTAGTAGAAAGGGTTTTGGCTTGGACTCAAAATAATTTTATTAGATATCCATGATAATAAATGGGGTAGTTGCAGCAATAATATAATTAGAAGCGACGAGAGTTATAAGGCTCAAATTTGAGGCATACATTTATGTGTATTTTTTAATTATTCCATACTTTAATTATAACGATGGTAATGAAGATACAGGAATATTTTCTCTAATTTCAAGAAATCAGGAATGAAAAGATATCATTAACTCTCAGTTAATTAGAAAAATTCATCATTTAATTAGAAAATAATACCATTTAATTAAAAATTAATCAATTAATTAGAAAAGAATTTCGTAAGATTTTACCAATAATCAATCGGGTAATTTTTTCGCATTGTATTTGCCTTCTGCAGATGGCATCATATGAATAATGTTGTAAAGTTAGCGTTTTATGTTAGTTATTTAACAGAAATTAATAAATATTGAAACTAAAAACTCAAAGTGATAGCAGATGTCTAGAAGTTTTCCATTGACGAAGATTTATATCCAATATTAAAGCTACTTTGGTATCAAAGTAGCAAAGTTTTAATCCCGAGGTAGGAAATTATTTATATTAAGTGATTTTCTACTACAGTTTTGTCAGGTTACCATAATGGTTCTTGTACTATACAAATAACATGTGCTGTTGTTAACAAATAACATCTTGTACCATACATTTCGTAGTCTATAATTCAATCTAAGAACATCCATAATTTTATCGCAGCCACTGCACGATAGGAGTAGCGCCGTTATCAACCATAACCTCAGCAATTATAAGGATTAGTTCTGATGATATTTGCGTGCATAAAGAAAATAAAATTATGAAAACGACATCAAACTAATGGGAAAAGAAATATTATTGTCTCCATTTAATCAACGCAAACCGCTTTAATGCTAAAGTTTTTAACGGGAATCGTAACAACGATACTATGATAGCAGGAACATTGATCATAATCAGATTATTATTATTTTATTAAGGACATAAAAAAATTGGAACATACCTTCTGCACTGAGCATCGGAGTGGATGTCTCTGTTGGTTTTTTTGTTGTGGCCTGACGTCGGAGCAACCACAGGCAACTGGCAGGGCCGGGCTTGCGGTGATTTAGGGCCGGCATTATGGCGGCCCAGAGTCGCGGGAGAGCCGGGTGGCGAGCAGCAAATCGGCCTCCCCAGAAACAAGACCGGTCGAGCGTCCACGGAACCGTTAGCCGACCGTCACGACGAATGCAGCAGCGGTCTGTATAGATTGTCTAAAGCGATCGTACCACTGCTCGAAACGGCTGTCGATGTGCTGGCATTGGGGGTAGAGTCATCCCCGATGTTCGTATTTGTTTTGTCGGTGTTTTCGTAAAATCTCTGCCTATATCGCCTGGATGCCAGTGAAGCCAGACACAGAACTAGAGCCAGCAGCAACACGAGACCAATTGCCACAGCTGCTACGTTATTGGGTCGAGAAATTCCTTGCAACATGAACTTGGCGTCTTGCGTAATTGTTAGGCAACACGATATTTGCAGCCAATATCCCGATGCGTCTTCGTAGCCGATACAAAATCTATACTTGGTGTCAGGTCTTAATCTACTGATAGTATAAGTTTTTCTCGATTGACTTGCCATGGCAAACTGTGTTTCTTCTGGTATGGTGCCATTTTTGCCGTCATCAATGCCGTAGACAATCTTGTATTGGGGAAACGCTCGTCGCTCAGTGCCATTCCAAACGAGTGTAACGAAAGTGGAGCTTACTGCTATCGGGAACAAATGAATATCGATTCCTGTAACGGTCAATTTGATGATAGCCGTGTCCCGCCCCGCCGAGTTCTCAGCTATGCACCGGAAGAGGCCAGCGTCTGTTGGCTGCAGGTGATAGTAAACTAAAGTTCCTGGAGGAAAATATCGTCTCCGAACTTCGTTCAAAGTAGAGTTTATGTTCGAGCCATCCGGTAACGACCAGTGAAGCTTAGGGGGAGGTGATCCCATAGCGCGGCATTCAAGAATTTCTTTCTCGCCGACTTTACCAACAAGTTCGCTCTTTTGCGTCAAGTTGAGGATGATAGGGGTGCATTTCTTGGGTAACTTGACCAAGTCAATATCTTTGAGTAACTTGTGGTTAAAATTGGCGGGACTATTACACACGAGGTGTTCTGGTTCCTCTAAGTGAAGAGTAGAGTTCAAATTTGGATTTAAAATTATTCGTAACCATCTAGAATTGCAATTGCAGTTCAGTGGGTTTCCGTATAAGTGAATTCTGACCCCGTCAGGCAAAAAATCAGCCATTTCTCTTTGAATTCCCTGTAGATTATTGTAAGCGAGATTAAGTTCTCTTAAGTTGTTAACATTTATGAAAGCTAAAGGGTCTACGTATGATAACCGCTTATTATTCTTTATCAGTAAATTAGTAAGATTTCTTAGAGTATAAAAAGCCTTTGCATCGATTATGACGAGCTCCGGCATTTGGCAAATACTAATTTTCGACACACTGAGATGTGAAAAATCGAGTGGTTTAATTTTAGGCACAGGATTGTGGTCGAAAACCACGGAGTCGAGCTGTGGCATGCTCTGGAGTGCGGCTGTGGGCACCCGCGAGAGGAGGTTGTCGTTCAGTGTCAGTTCCTGCAACTTCGTGAGACCTGAAAAAGCTCGCGGATCGATGGAAGAGATTCTGTTTCCAGCCAAGAAGAGACTGCGCAGGTTTTGCAGAGGACGGAATACGCTCGCTGGAACGTTGTGAACGCGGTTATGGGCCAGGTTTAGGGAGAGGAGTTTGCTGAGGCCTGTGAACCATTCCTCGTACAAGGAGCCCAGCAAGTTTTGCTCTAAATCCAAAATCTCTAGTTTCTTGAGATCAGTAAAAGCTTCGTCTTCAATGTAGTTTATATTATTGTTTGATAACACCAATTGCTTTATGTTAATTGGGCCAAGGAAAGTGTCGTGAAATATAGTTGATATTTCATTCTTGCCAACATTGAAGTATATTAAATTAGTGAGGTTACGGAACATTTTCCCTCTTCCGATAGACTTGATTTGATTACCAGAGAGGTCCAATTCTTTCAGTTGTGTCAGCTTGGCAATGCTTCTGTCTACATTTGCTATTGTGTTACCCTTTGCATTCATGACTTCTACATCTGATGAAGGCAAGGGCGGGAAATCAGTCAGACCCGAGAACGAACAATCCAGAGTCTTCATATCTCGTTGAAAATAATTCGATCTTCTTAAGCCACAAATGCAAGGTTGTGGACAAGATGGGTTGTAGTTTTCAGGAAGAGCTTGAGAGATGCCATGTATAGAAAACATAGAGGTCATAAAAGTTGTTAATAGCCACATATATCGGCGTGTTTCCATGACTTAAACTTCGTGCTCAACGTTGTGTGTGTTCACCAGAGATCTAATTCAAAGACTATACTCTTAACTGGTCACATTTACACGTTGTGATAGGCAACCCTCATGGTCTTCGTCGTCTGGGCCATCCTCAGTTTCGTCCGACTTTGATGGAATCATAAGCGTTTAGTGCTATGGTAAGTGCTGCGCTTATTACTGGTAAGGTATTGTGGTGAACAATGCCCACGTTTCGAAATTATGTCGAAAACCCTTATGATCTTGATATTTTGAACGAAGAATTTGGAAAAACTTCAGCTCTCCACAGATGCATTTCACTTGAAATCAAATTGAAATTTTACGGTTGTAAAATTAAATTTGGTACATTTGACTGAATTGAAATTCTACGAAAATTCCTGCATTGCTCATTGGTCAACTACGAACAACCAGTTGACATTCATAGCGGGTTCAAGTAATGATGTTATTTATTCATATTTTTTAACTTTATGGTCAAACATTATGCCATAGACATGTTCAAAGAAATTTACTGTCCCTTAACTTACATCAAACAAAATCTTCAACGTTTTCCCATTAAATAAACAAAATATTTTTCAGTTTTTTCTTGCCCCAACGTGGAGAAGAATCGGTGAACTTTGTGGCTTCTCTGAAAAAGAAGAAAACATCTCATTAGTCGCAGACTTCCAGACTCGAGGAGTGCATCTTTTCAAGCAATTTTATTTGATGCAAATAATTAAGCTGGACGAGGATCTTGTGAATATTTTTTTTAAACAGGATAGAAAAGATATTGTATATTCTCTGCCGGTGAGCTCAAGCGTGTTGTTAGTTTTTGACTTGATAATTTCTGGTAGAATGTCCATAAATTAGAAAATTTCCTAGAAGATATGATAATTGTCAAAATAGCCAAAACTCGCAACGCTGTAAGCTGATGGAGATATGCTCACAATATTAAATATAATCAAATTATAGCACAGCAAGAACAAGTTCAAATGAAGCGGAGTTTTTACCATAATAATTTTGAAAAAAACCATTTGAATTAGAATCCAATTAAACTTTTAATTATAACAATGTTTGACATGGCATTATTTCAACAGTAATTAATATATTTTCTAAGTCCTAGATCAATTAGAGCATAACTTCGATATTAACTGATGTTATCTGCGTTTTTATATAAAAATCTGCAATTCGTTCCATTGACATTAAATACATGAACTGATATGAAATATAAATTGTGTTTTGAACCAATTAAAAATTTTATTTTTTAAATTTTTAATATAATTGGACGGCTATCGACGTCCAATTATGTTCCTATATAATAAAACCGCATCAAATTTTCTTTTATTTAAAAAAAGCTCACAATATTGTTAATGAACAACAAAGCATTTTTTTGCTTTTAATTCATTTTAATCCTGAACGTCACTTTGCATCGTCCGAAGATATAAGGACGATAAGCCTCGACATGATAAACATCGTCTCATAAAACGGGAACAAACTAAGCTTTAATTCAGTTATTAATCAATTGGCGCGCTTATTGAAATTTTCTTGATAGAATCCAATAGAACAATTTAATTAAGGTGTTAAGAATAGTATACATTTTAAATTCAATCATTGACTATATTATTTAATAATAACTATGTAAGTGAATGCGATTCCTTACTTCACATTTGTTATTTTAGTTTTAAATCATCACTGATGAGTTCTCGCCGGCGAATAATTTTTGTGATAATAATACGCGTGTAAGCTCAATAATGTTTAAATAGCTGTCGTAATTGTCGTGAAGTTATAAATATATTTCTGTTCTTTATTAATCTGAATAGTGTCAAAATTCAGTGCATTTTCCTATTTTTAAATTTGGGTTTGTTTTTGCAATAAGGTCTCTGCAATAAAGTTCTAAAACGGTGATGAAAGTGATAGGTAAACACAGTTTTTATTTTTGTATTTACAGTTTGTTCATTATTATACTTTATTTATAACTTTTATTCATTGCTTCTTTACGATTATAAGCTTAATGTTTGAGGTCACTTAAAGTTCTGTTTATTCTTTTATTTATTCATTGGACTAACTCCTAAAACTGTTCCATTTGGATTTAAGAATTTCGGCACTCTAGGTTTTGTATTATTTTTGAAGTTTTCGCATTCACTTTTAGATACGGGCTGGTTAGGGCTACAAAAATGCGGAACGCAATTGAATATAACCATTTCGTAAAATATTTGTGTAAAAATTCGGTGTGTGCATTATGAACTGAAGCTCCCTGAGTGACGGTACCAAAGTTTAATGATAAAGAGATGTAGTCTGTTAACGGGGAAGGAATTAATGGCTACGGAAGTCGAAAATCCTTGCCACGGCGCTTACCATTTAGAGGCGAGGTGCATGGTAATGATGACGAGCGTTTAGTGCGAGATAAACGTGATCACCAAAAAATTTGGTAAGCGAAATGTCATCAGCATGGATTTACGTGAACGAAAATGAAGTAATGGTCCAATAATATTCGGCAGAAAACATGCTGTTATCAATGATATTTCTCCTGCCCTTGACGATTTTGATGCACTCACAATGAAATTTGGATAGTGAATTTTATACAAGAAAATGCAGTGGGTTGGGCTGACAGCATTACAATTGAAATGGTGGGCTGGAGTGACACCATTACAATTGAAATGGTGGGCTGGAGTGACACCATTACAATTGAAATGGTGGGCTGGAGTGACACCATTACAATTGAAATGGTGGGTTGGAGTGACACCATTTAGTTTGAAATGGTGTGTTGAACTGACACTATTTAAATTGAAATGGTGGGTTGGAGTGACACCATCACAATTGAAATGGTGGGTTGGACTGACACCAAGAACCGCCATTTCAATTCGAAGGTTCAAGTACATCTTTAATAAAGACTAATTCATCACACAGCCCCCGATCAGCAGGAGTACTGATTTATTCGCAGCAGATGGTGTGCCAGGCAACACAATATTGATGGGCCTGGTGGTTCATCCCTTCACTCCTCACATGTATCACGCTCCTATAGCTATGTTCCGTAGTTCGGATCTGATGTGGTAAAATCCTTATTTTTTATTCAACATCATAAGATTTTATGAGATTTCTTGATTTATAGATTGAAGCAGAAATGATCTTATACATCGCTGTATAACGCGTTTCAGGTTGAAGTCGGGCAAATGTTTTGTTGAAAAGTTTTAACAATCGGTTGCGCTTGAATAATATTTTAGGATGCATTTCTGGGATGAACTAGAGAGATGTTGACCGGAATACGGTTTTCACGTTTTATGTTCGTGCTATCAGTAACGACGAAAAGCTGTTAGCTGCAGATGGTTTAAAATCCTTTCTATTTTAAGAATTTCTAGTTAAACTACTTAACTATCCTGCCAGTTAAGCAGAACTTATCCCAGCGAATAATTTTTCGGTGCAACGAATTTTTAGACCACATGTCCAACTGTTCTAAAATCATGATGGCATATGGTTGGAAAGCTAGAAAAATAATTTGGGAACTTCGCTCGAGTCGTAACACTTTAGCGCATTTTCTAATTTATGGAAAAATGCCCTATTGTGCTCGTCATGTCCGTCCGTCCGTGACTTCACGTTTTCGTCGACGAGAAAATGCGCTCTCTGTCATTCACTGCAGTAAGTACTGAGTTATATTTATATTATATTCATCTCAAAACCGTGGTGCGATGTTACAGGGCAAGCAACGCCATTAACGTAATTGTTCACAACGCCGTTCTCAGAGCTGTCATCACCAGCGGCCGCTTGTGCTTTCCTGGCAAACAAATTGTTCTTGGTGGTTCACATGCATGCTGAGTACGAACTATTCCTGGACGGTGGAGTTTTTCCTTCGTGAGTAACATATCCATTTTATCTGTATACAAAAACGCGGAGAACGTTAATAATCAATAATTATTGGTACCTACGTTGAAAACCTATCTAATCAGCACCGTCTTGAATCGCAAAGTTTTTGCAGTTTATGAAACGATTGAAATTATTTTTTGCTGTTCATATGAATACCTGTTGATAATGCTAGTGAGTAACAATAGGTCATGTTATAATTATGATTAACGGCGAGATCTCCGTCAACGGGAACAAAAAATTAAGTCTTATGCTCATGCTAGGAATCTCACCTTCATGAAAAATTAACCCCAAAACCATATTGAATCTATAATTAAACTGCATCGTAGTTGAAATAAGACTGACCTCAATGCGAACAAATCGCAATCCACCGTTTAAGAGCAATCCACCGTACGTGAGCAATACACCGTACATAAGCAATCCACCGTATAATTATGAGAAATACACCCAGAGGTGGGCAGTAGCGCGCTACATGTAGCGGTCGCTACTAGCGGCCGCTACATTTTAAAGTAGCGCTACCCAGCTCTGAATACACCGTATGTTTTCAATCTGCCGTCTATGTACAGTTCACTGAGAGTGTTTGATTCCCCAGTTTGACAATGGAGACCGCACCTGCTCTACTGTAATGATCTGCGGAGACAATGCGCTGGCGAAGTCCGGCTTAAACATTTCTAGCTCGACCTGGAACAGGTCGGATGTACCTTAATGAGGGGGGCAGAAATTGGGTGGACTTGAATGAGTACTGTTTTTTTTTTGTAAATCGTCCCTTTTTAGCAAGCTTAGGGATTTCTAGTATCCGAATTGAACTCTTGTGCTTACTGGCCAAATGAATATTTGGACTATATTCCAATTATTGAATTGCCTGCACTCCTTAACGTAGAATGGCAGGAACATCATGAGCACAAAATGCTGTCTTGGCTTGCTGTGATGACGAGGGCGTCTTTTCGATCCAATCAAATTCTGCATGATGGTGCTAGAGCAATAAGGCAATTATTACTATACAATCCAAAGACGTCTTGTGGTGCTTTTGCAATAACAGCGTCATTACTACCAACCTAATCCCGTTTTCTGGTGCTGGGACATGAAAGTGTGCTCTGAATTGAAGAAATCAAGTTTTTCCTCCTAGTCGTTGGCTTGTTAGGCAGCACTGAGAAACCGGCGTTTTTTCCAAACTATCCAATAAATTTGCCTAAACTGGTTCTGGTAACACGGGTTTAATTTAGATCTCTTAATTCCACACGCCAGTTGGCCCGACCTGGTAGACACGTCGGGCCCTCGTGGTCATCTCGTGGTGGCGCCTTGCTGCATAAAAATCGGCAATTAAATTGAATGTAGTCA